TGGCCAGAGTCTAGCAATAGATGGTCTATTGACACGTGAACGTCACGAGTGTTGGCCAGAGTCTAGCAATAGATGGTCTATTGACACGTGAACGTCACGAGTGTTGGCCAGAGTGTAGCAATAGATGGGCTATTGACACGTGAACGTCACGAGTGTTGGCCAGAGTGTAGCAATAGATGGGCTATTGACACGTGAATGTCATGAGTATCACTATATAGTACGTAACTGGGCTTTTCACACAGTAGAATGTCTATGATAGAATAAGCTGGTTACTGTAATTAACACTATTTCTTACACCATGCTGTTATATAGCAAAGTGTCTGATTTTATTTCCAATCTTCTGTATATTGTCAGATGATACATTCTTGGGAATAATTTGGTACAGTACACCATTCTCCAAGTTTTACAATACAGGCCTGAAGCTTTACAGTTAGCATTTTGTTGGTCAGATGAAAAAGCCAACATACAAAAATTGAACATTCAAAAAAACCTTTAATAACAACTAGTTTGACAATTCCGTGGAGCACTGCTAACAATTTACTATATTTATATTGTTACAAAATATTATCATTTCAGGAAATGGAACTTAAGGTTAAAATGTTTTCTTTTACATCAACAAACTAAACAAAATAGGGCTACGTACATATAAAAAAATCACTTGTATCTTTTGGAAAGATTAAGTAAAATTCCAAATTTAGTACATTCTTATCCATACCTTATGCTATTTAAAACAATACTGACAGAGCACAATCCTCAGACACTGCACATGGAGACTTCCTCTCTCTGGTTCAGTCACATATACGTTCACTGCAAGGCAACAAAACAGTAAGTTGTATTAGAACATATTAATCTCTTGTACAAGAATACTTCAGTTATTAAGCTAATTAGTCACCTTGCTGAAATAAAATCAGTTATTCTGTTCTTATTACCATTTCCTCGAATAACAACAGGATTTAGAAACGAGTGTTGTTCTTTACACCCAAGATTTAATGGCAACGGGACCAGCTGTTTCTGAAAATCTGAAACAGTGTCCAATATTAGCACAATTTAAATTTTGACCACAGTCAGCAGCTGGGAGCGAGCTGAAAATCAATCTTCAGAAAGTGCCATACATTGTACAGAAATATAGCAATCAACCCCACCTCTTGAATATGGTCATGCTGGTACTCCTCCTCCATTCTACCACAGGCTGGCTTCAAAGAAAAAAACTATCACACCCTGCTAGTACAAGAACTGATGCTAAAAATAGACATTTGCCAGGAAAAAAAAAAAGAAAAAAGATTCATTTTCTAAAATCTTAACATGTCACTGTACCACAATAGTTAAATTTTAACTTTTGCTATTGGCTTGTATTTGTTAACTACTCAAATATGTATACAAAAATAACAAGTAAAATTAATACTTCGACAGCATAATACTGAAACTTAGCAAAAAAAATTTGGACTTGCACTGATAACACAAAACATGATAACCATCAGGTAATTAAATAAAAATTTGTTTACAATTAAAAAAATTCAGCAGCCAAAGTGTTAATTTTTGTATAAACCTTCCTACGACAACAGCCATCCATGGTGAGTAATTAAAAGACTTAAGTTACTGTCACCTGATGAGACTTGGACTCCTGGAAAGCAACTCAAGGTCGGATGCATGTTTCTTCACATCGTGGTCGCCACCAACGACCTCAACACACCTGCTACATGTGAGGCGAGTGTACCGGAAAACTTGAGTTAACAAAAAGAAATTCTTGGCCAGTGGATGCCACTGTTTAGCTGTAGCAGTTACTTCTAAATTTAGAATTTATTTTATTAAGAACTTACACAGTGTGTTTCTGAGTTTTGACTAAAGTATACTTTTATTCTCGATTAATTATCATACGAAGGTTTTGTATATCTTACAGTTTAAAGAAACTAATATCTTTCTGTATGCTATGTACTGCAAGTCTAATGATTTGAATGTAACACACCTGATAGTTTGTATAACCCTTCCTTAACTGTAGGTTAGAATAACTATATAAACAAGTGTAATAAACCTACAACACAAACTACAGTGCCTCTTTAACATATAAGCTAAGCCTACACTAGAAAAATTTATTACATTGTGGACAAAAATAATTGATATTCAGACCTTAATGTGTCTATTTTATATATTCTAAAATATCCTGAAATTTGTTTCATATTTCACATCTTAAAAGAAAACTTCAAATAGCTACATAAAAATATAATAACTACTAAATAAATGCTTCACTTCTGTAATATTTATAATTGTTTTAAAACAATGAAACTACTAGAAACTATTATCTTTTCAGCTGATAATAAATAAAGAGACTATCAGTAGTAGTTGGACTTTAATTATACAAAATATAACTTTGAAAGTATTATAAATTGCCTACAATGAACTGTAGTGAAGTCTGAAAGCTTTACATTCTAGATACTTGCTAGAGGATGTGATGAGAATTGTTTGAGACTTTATTTATTAATAATTTTAAACCAGAGACGAACATCATGATTTTCAGCCACAAGAAGTAATAAGTTGGCACACAACAGTTTATATGCTTAATGAAGTGATTTATTTTGAGGGAACATACAACATGTTTAGACAGAACACTGGTCTGTCTTCAGGATGCAAAAGGTGTTTTATACATTTATTTATTTATATAGCAAGATGATCCTTTTGAAGCATGAAACCCCTTGAGGAGACAACACAATTAGTGGTCTTATGGCACTTCCCAATTCTAACAAACAGTTTGAAATAATACATACTGACAAGTTTGAGCCAGTAAACATGATAACTTACTTCACTGGCCTAATCGTGTTGGATAAAGAAAGAAAGGCTAAGTTAAAACAGAATTTGTTACAATTATATGATAATTACATTATGTTGTCTTAAATGAAGGTTTTAAGTATAAAAAGGGAGGCTCGTTCCGTCAAACTCTCATAAACTTGTAGCTTCATCCTAAACGTTTGTTAGAGACTGAAGAACTAATACGTTTCACCTTACAATTGGATAATCTTGAGATACAAAGTAATTTCACTAAAAACCAAAGTGCGTCAACAACGATAGTAATTACTGTTGGTAAACGACATCAACCTTGCTTTCTTTTCTAAAGTAAACTCCACTACTACTAAAACAGCACATCGTGTTGTTAATTTACAGTAATCTTACATATTTTTTACAGCAGGAGACAAGTAAAAAACAGACAGATTGCTTTCTTTTCTAAAGTAAACTCCACTACTACTAAAACAGCACATCGTGTTGTTAATTTACAGTAATCTTACATATTATTTGCAGCAGAAGACAAGTAAAAAACAGACAGATTGCTTTCTTTTCTAAAGTAAACTCCACTACTACTAAAACAGCACATCGTGTTGTTAATTTACAGTAATCTTACATATTATTTGCAGCAGAAGACAAGTAAAAAACAGACAGATTGCTTTCTTTTCTAAAGTA